AAATTAAACGCAGTTAATCTTCAGAACTAAGGCATTTATTAAAAAAATGCTAATTGATATATCCAATCTTGAGAAAATCAAAAAAAAGCTTAACCAGATACTTTTGATAGAATAGTGTATTTATATTTATTTTATTTCATTAAATTTGATATATTAAATTTTATATTAAAACTTTAATATATATAAATTATATATATAAATATTATTATCATAACTATTCTGATTAGATTTCTTTCAATACTTATACTAATTAAAAGTAAATTATAATAAAATTTGTTAAATTTTTAATTAATTTTTATTAATCAGCTATATAATTAAAATTTTATTTTTCAGTTAATATTTTAAAAGCAATTTTTTTTAAATTAACTAAAACTTTTATTAATTCAATATTTTTATTTGTATTTTTATTATTTTTTTTATATCACATTATTTATTAATTTTAGCAATTTCACTAGACAATCTGATTGATAAAATAAGATAACTTTACATATTTACATAAAATCATATTATGAAGTTCTTTTTTAGAGTATATTATTTTACATAGTCTGTGTGAATGATAGTAATACTATATAGATAGTTGTAAATATAGGTAGGATAATTATTTTCTATTGTAAAAGAGTATAAGTTAAGAATCTCATAGTTAGCAGGTGTATAAATAGAGAAATAATTTTATTAGCTATAGATATTTTCTGTAAATATGAAAATAAAGAAATAATATGAATGCTGGAATCCATACCCTCCCTCTTTGATAACATCATATATTTCATTCTCTATCTCTTTTACTATTAATCTAAAAATCATTAATAAAGTTTTACATGGTGTATATAAACTGAAATAATAAAATCTGGAGATTATATTTATTTGTTTAAGACTTATAATTAATTAAATCATCAGATGCATAATGTATAATGATAATAAATCAAATTATGTCATAATATAGTTTATGATAAAAATTTTATAAAAGCTTAAATTTAAATCATATGTAAAATCTCTAGAAATTTGATTTTCTCTTCTTTAGAGTACAACATCACGTTTTATTTAGTAATTATATCAGTATATAAAGTAATAGTTAATCTTGAATTATTACAAGAGGAAAAAAAGTCTTACGCATTTATTCACTAATAATTCATTTAAAAAAACTGAAGCGAAGAAGATCATTCCTACTTGTATCAATAAAAAGCAAGTTGATTATTTGAGAAAATTATTAACTTCTGATATATTTTTAATTAGTATATATATTCCTTTAACATAAAATTTTATATTATAATAATAATAATTTAACTTCAGTCTTTGAAATGACAAATTATATAACCAAAATTTTAGTATATGATTATGGAGGGTACAGGAGAATTCTTGAGCTTTACAAGAGATCCTGAAAAAACGCAATATTAAAAAAGTTAATGTAAATGTTTTGATGAAAGATTTACATAAATTCTTCATTATAGATACAGTAAGATATTTTAATTTTTTTTGAGTGACTATAGAGCTGTAGGTCAGACGATATTAATTCAAGAACTCTTGGATTCTAATAAATTTATCTTTGATACAAGTAAGTATCCTAGAAAAGTGACTCATTCAGGGTTGATTAGCTACAAACAAATAGGTAAAATTCAATCTAGATACCTGATTGCTCCTTATATTTGAATTTGAATACTAACATAATCTTTTAATCATGAAGATCTATTATTTTAAGATTGGTATTTTTGTGATTATAGTAATCATAAGTTAAATTTAAATCCAAAAAATCCACCAGGTGCTCAATTTTGATAACATTTTGAGCATTTTATTACATTTTTTTAGACATTAAAATCTAAAATGATAAATAACAATGAGGTAATAACAATTGCAAAAATTTACTTTAAAGTAAGATTAAATAGTGATGATTTTTAATTTATAAATCATCATCTTGAATTAGAAATTGCAATTCACTAGGAAAACACAAATTCAGCAAATTATACTAGAACTAAAAGAGAAAGTAAATATGATAATAGTATTATTAATATTTGTAAAGATAAATATTGTATAGTTAACAGAGACTTAGCACCGTATGGTGATACATTCCTTAAATTAGATTTGAATTCAAACATCCTAACCTAAACAAAATGCATCAATATAAAAAGTTAAAAAAAATTCTTAACGAGACTAATTTCCAAAAGAACAGAAAAAATCATTATTACCAAAGGATTTTTTTATTTTATACTACAATGAAAATATATAACTTTAGTCTTTCAAAAAATACCGGATATGTAGATATATCTAATTAGATTAAATATTTTGAGTATTATGCTAGTAGAATGTTTATGTATATTTATGTAGGCTTTTTAGATATAAATAACGTAGATAAAAAGGATTTTAAAATATTAGAAGGAGTTAGTCTCAAATAGGTAAATATAATTACAACAAAAGAAAATTTATAGATATTAAAGATGCATATAATAAGATAAAAATACCAAAGAGTGTATTAAAAAGTTTCAAATTTAATTGGTACGTTATTTATTTAGTATTTAATTCAGAAAATAATTTGCTAGTAGATTAGTTTAGCAAGTATATTTTTTATCTTTAATAATAATAAATGTATAAGTTTTATTATATTACATGATCAAAAATTTTTGCTAAAAGTTCCTAAAACAGAACACATATGTGATTTTCTTATTTTATTATCACTACATTTTTATAAAAAAATCACAGATGTCAAAGAAATTAATTTAGAAATTAATTCTCTGATATTTTATTTTAGTAAGATACTTGAGAAGCAATATAAATTTTACTGTAGATCTCATCCTATCAAGAATTGGTTAATGATAAAATTAGTAAACAGATTTGCCCTAAATGCAAATTTCAATTTTAGATAATATAATTTTGCTATTCTAATTTAAAATTAAGGCAAATTGAAAATTAAGATATGTGGAAACTGGAACATATGATATCCTAAGTTGATAATTGTCTTAATTTATAATTGAAATAAATTGGAAACTGAAATATAAGATACTTTAAATTAACTATTATTCTAATTTAAAATTAGAGGCAAATTGGAATTGATTATTACCCTAATTTAAAATTAGATCAAATTTGAAACTAGAAAATTAATATATAAGTTGACTAATATCTCAATTTAAAATAGGATAAATTAGCTATTACCCAAATCTATAATTGAGATGAAATATGATATTTTAAGTTAACTTTTTTCTACTTAATCTTTATATAATTTAAATTTTAAAATTATAAAATTAAATGTTGTTTTTTAGTTGTATAAATTTAAAAAATAAATATATTTTTGTATCCAATAAATTTAAATTTAAATTAAAAATAGTGAAATTTATTTTTAAAACATTTAATTATTTACTATAACTATTTATATAATATTATTTACTTTATAAATTAAAATCATTGTTAAATTTATTAAATAATTAAAATAATAATATTTTTTGTAAATTTACTAGAAAGAAATTTTATTTATTTAATATTTAATAAAATATAAAAGCTATTTTTGAAATTTAATTATTATTCATTTTCTTTTTGCTATTATAAAGAATAAATTCTAAGATTTTAACATTCTTTACTAGGATGATATTTATCATTACAAGTTAAATTTTCTTTTTTATAAGATATTTCATTGTATTACAATTAGTATTAAGATATTTACATTTAATTAACTTCTTATTTAAAATATTATTTTGTAATTTAACTGCTTTTGTAACTATTATTATTTTATTTGATATATCTGTTAATTCAATTATTAATTCTAATTTAGTATGTTCTAAATTTTTTTCTTGATAATTTATATTTAATTTTCCTTTTAAAACATCCCAATTAATAAAATTTAACCTTTAAAATCTTGTATAATTAGAGTTTTGAACAGATCAATTCAGATCAGGTTTAATAAATTACCTAAACTGAAAGGATCAGGTTAGGTCAAATAAAAATCTGATCTGATTTAAATTTTCATTTGATCTAATATAACTTGATCTGATCTGATCAAATTATTATAAAATATTATTTTTAAATGATAAATCATCATTTTAATTGAATGATAAATTATTATTCTCAAATAATTATGAATCATTTTAATTAAATAATAAAATTATTATTCTTGAATGATAAATCATCATTCAAAAATAATAAAACTATTGTTCTCAAATGATTATAAATCATTTTAATTAAATGATAAAACATCATTCTTGAATGATAAAATCATCATTTTAAATAATAATAAATCATTCTAATTGAATGATAAAACTATTATTTTTGAACAATAAATCATTATTTTTGAATTATAAAACTATCATTCAAATATAATAAACTATCATTCTTGAATGATAACAAATCATTCTAAATGAATGATAATGAATCATTTTAATTGAATAATAAAATATTATTCTTGAATAATAAAACTATTATTCTTGATTATTATTTTCAGACGATAAAATTATCATTCTTGAATAATAAAATAATCATTTTCAGATGATAAAAATATTATTCTTAGATAATAAAACATCATTCTTAAATGATAAAAACATTATTCTCAGATGATAAAATATCATTTTTAGACAATAAAATATCATTCTCAAATGATAAAACTATTATTTGAGAATGATAATAAATTGTTCTAATTAAATAATAAAATATCATTCAAGAATAATGATTAGTTAATCTAAATTTTTTCAGGTCAGATCGAGTTAGGTTAACCTATTGATCTGACCTGATATTAATCTGAAAATTTACTGACCTGATCTGGATTTTCTAATGTTGGATTATGATCTTATATGATCTATATGACCTATATGACTAATCATAAGTTATTTGATCATTTTCAGAATAGCTCAATTTCATAATTAACTAATTGATTATTATAAATATTATTTAGATTTTCATTTTAGACTTTAATAATAATTTATTATAAATCATTAAATCTAAAATAAACTGTATATTTATAAAACTTTAAATTAATTATATATTATAACACTTAAAATTTTTTATTTATTTATAATATATTTATAATTTTATACATTAGAAATTATTTCATTAAAATTTAAAAATGAAGGAAATTCTAAAGAAGATTTAAATAAAGAACTTAAGATCTGTTTGGCTGTTTCATCATCAGCAGAATATATTTCATGATCTTCTAAATTAAAATCATTCCATTCTTCTTATAGATGCCTGCCGAAACCTCCTCAAAATAATTTTGTCATACCCTTTTCTATGTTTTTAATATAGTTTTGACAGTTTCGGCTTTCGTCGTATCAAATGGGTTTCATCGTATCCTTTATTATGATTTTAATATAGTTTCGTCTAAGTTTCGACTGTTATTAAGGGATTTTGTCCCTCATCTATAATTCTTCTGATAAAAAAATTGCATTATCTTGATTTTCAAATTGATTCTCATAATTTCCTAATTCTATTTATTCTTTAATTATTTGATCCCATTTTTTTTATTATTACTATCATTATTAATTTCCATTTCATTATCAGCTTCTTTATCACTAATCATATCATCATCACTTACTTGTATATATTCTTTATTATCTAATTCATATTCTTCAATTTCATTATCAGAACAAATTGGTATAACTATATGAAGTCTTAACATTTCTTGATCACAATTTCTAGCTTCTTTAATTTTACGAGTATATAAAATATCACTTCAGATTTAACTCATAAATAAACCTTTTTTTGCTACATTTAAAAATTAATAATAAAATAATTAATTAATAAAAATTATAATATTAATAAAATAAAATATTACTTGTAATCTGTTCTGCCTATTAATATGTAAATAACTCATATTTGACCATAATCATTTTACTGAAGTAGAATTAACACAAATTCCATAAATATTAATTGTAATACAAGCTAATTCAGAACCTATACCACTTGTTGATTCCCAAAAATCTACCAACTTATTTTTAAATTGATTAAAAGAATCTATATCATATGAATCTTCTCCTTTTTTATATTTAATTAATTCAGCTAAAATTGAAGTTGGCTTAGAATCAAATCATGATTCATAATATATTTTAACCATTGTTCAATATGAGTTCAAGTAAGATTTTGAACTGTTGTACAAAATTTTTATAATTTATAAGATGGATGAAATGCAAAAGAAAGAATTAAAAGTGACTGCTCTTACTTTTTCTAACGAGATTCCATTCTTGCTATCATTTTTGAACTAAATTCAAAATTATGATGATTATCTAAAATTTTAGTAGTATAAATAAAACAATGTAAAACTTCATAAAGCCTAGCAGTATCTTTTTATAATTTATTAAGAAATCTACAAAGTGAATATGATAAATTTTGTAACTCAAATAATGTAATCTAAAATTCTGAATCATTAATAATATCTGTAATATTATCAGAAAGTTTTCTATTACCACTTTAATCAGTTGATTTTTTACTTGCTGGTATATTTGGAATACCATTATTTCTTATAATATTTGTTTGATTATTATTGAATTTTGCTAAAAGAAACTATTAAAAAATTAAAATTAATTTAATTCTTATATAATTAAATTTATTAATATTAATAAAATATCTTAAGTACAGACTGTGTTTTTAAAATAGAATAAAAATAAAAATAATATGAGTTTCATCTTGTATCTCTAGATATAATTAATATAATAGTTTTAATATATATGTGTTTGCTTATCTTTAAGATTTCCAGTAAAAAAAAGATGAATTATGAAAAAAACTAACAATTCATATTGCTTTCTTAGATACTCTTTGATATAATTCAGATTCTTTAAATATTTCTCTAAAGATTAAATTCATTTAATAGGTCATGTATGATAAAAATATTTTAGACAGGTATTTTCTTCTTAATAGACATCTAATATTAAAATAAATTTACATTAGTTTTTAAATTAAAAATATATATTATTTAATAAAATCATATCAGATAGCAGCATATTCTCCAGCTGAATCAGAAATAAAAACTTTAATATTAATATGCTTTTCATCAATTTCAGATATTAATTTTTTAATATGTTTAATAATATTTTCAATTTTGGATCTTTCTGTACTTATATCATATGCATCTCATACTAATGGTTATCCTGAAGTAGTTATTAATATTACTTCCTATAAATACTTTTGTTTTATATTAGTCTAACCATCAAATATAGTAGTTATACCATATTAATTATTTTTAATGATTTTAATTATATTTTCTTGTAATATTTGTAAACAATCAGTGTAGTTCAATCCCAGGTAAAATAAATTGAAAAATAGCAATAATGTCTTCATTTTCAATAAATATAAAAGGTAGACCATTGGATATAATCATACGAAGTAATAATTAATAAATATATTGCTTATCATTTGATAATATTGGTCGACAAAAATAGGTGGTGATTGCTAATTATTGAGAAAAAAAGGAAGTTGTTGAAGTCAAAAATTTTTGTTGTTTAGATAAAGCAAATGCTTCATCATTATTATTATCATTATCTATTATAAATAATTTAAAATTAATGTAAATTTTAAATTGTATATAAAAACATTATATATTTAAATTATAAAAATATTATACCATTTTTTTTTTATGTTTTTTTATATTTTCTGAAATTTGTAAAGCTAAAATCCTTTGTACTAGAGCTCTGAACAGGTCAGTTCAGGTTGGGTCAATCAAGTTACCTGAACTGAGAAGATTAGATCAGGTTAAATAAAAATTCAACCTGATTTAAATTTTTATTTAACCTGACCTGACCTGACCTAATCTAACCTAATTTGATCAAATTATTTAAATTATTTAATAAACAATATATTATATTT